GAAGGCAGTGGATAATGAATAGTCCACATTCTGCATAATTAGTGGGTTTGTGATCTTAGTAGAAATGTAGTACTTGGTGATCTTCTAAATGACGAAATGATGGAGAGATTGTTGTAACTGTCTGAAATAATCTGTTTCTTTCGGTCTCATAGTGAGGACACTCACTTCAAAATAAAAGGAAACTCATAACCAGAGGACAGGAGAGAGAAAGAGGGTCGCTATCTCAGTAATTTACTAGAAGTATTCCTAGTAAATTAATAAGATAGCGACCCTCTATCTCATTAATAGTAAAAGAAGAGTTAATTTACTAGCCTATAGTAAGGATTCTAGCTAATTAATGAGATAGCGATCCTTTATTTCAATAATTCACTAGAACAACCGCTAGAATAAGAAGTATTTGATTATTCAATTCAATTCTTTATTTCATACCAACGTTGCAGACATACAAAAATATGTGTTGCCTGAATGGCATTGGTATTTACAGCAATAACAGCAAGATAAGGTACATAACATATATTACACATATATACATACTATTAAAATATATACATTAAATCAACAGGGCATCCCAGATATGACACGTTTACACAGTCTGGTTGTATAGTCTGGTAGACTGATGTAGGAACGAGTTCTGGAGTCTTTTTGTTAGTATCTAGTGTAATGTAGTGAAATTGATGCTATACATTTGTGACTACCGTTATCACATGTGGAAGAAACATGAAAGTTCATTCGACTGAAATACTTCTTTGAAAAATAATTGAATCTGTTAAATTGCACCGGTAGACTATAAATGCGTATTCTATGCACCAAAATTTAAAAGAAAAAACATTGATAACCTGCATGCAAAACGTACTCGGCCATTGCATTGTTACGTTTTGGGTTTTTTACTTTTGACTAAATTATTATCGCACACGCGAACAGCAACAACTAAAAAAAACTACGACCCTGCACCCCTCTCTTGGGACTGCATCTGGTACAGCCCTTACATTTCTAATATTGGTATCTGGGGATATCCATTTCCTGTGGACTATTTCGGGCAGGCCGCCCGTTTGGAGGTGTTCGGGACCGCTGAAGCCAGGGACAGGACAAAGAGAACCTCTATTCTCTTTTCTTTCACCAAGCGCGAACAAAAAGCTGCCCTAAAATGGTACGTCAGACACTTCTCATCAGCTCTAACTTCTGTTGTGAACTTAGGTTTGTTATGTTTGCTTCTATGTGCGTAGAACTAGCTGACAATGACTAGGATCCTGGGAGGTGGGTGCCCTTCAGATTTGTCCCCCATGGGGGAAAAATGACTCGGGGTCGAGTCGACGCGAGAATACCTAGCACTTCGGGGAATTTCAAACATATTGTTATCATACTTTAACATTTTGGAATTTCATTTCCAGCAGTTATGATTATTACTGATTAATTTCTCCAGTTTGTGGTTGTTTTTACGTTATGATGGTTTGTTAGAACTTGTCGTAAAAGGGGGAGAGAAAATTTGTCCTGGAACTGACGGACCCCGTCGCGTTGTTTCGTCAGCTGTCCAGCTGCGTAAATTTAGTTCCAGGCGTCCCCATCAATGATCGTTAAAAACAACTGCCCTCATTCCACGTTTTATCCACAGCCTCTTCTTGATTATCGTTTGATTGGTATTATTATGAACGGTCCTGGTACATATTTCTCCTATTGGAGGAGCTATAATAAACTCTGAACGCGTCCTCGGTTTCGCGTCTCGGACATAAATGGCACGGGGGAATAATGTGAAGAATGTCGGATGAAGCAAAACCGGGCGGATCCCTCTGGCAAAAAACGCGCCACTGAAAGGGCGTTTGGTAGGGTCAAGCCACTAACTTTGCAAAGCAAAATTGACACATTGTAGTCGCAAATTTCTCTTCAGTTCGCTATTATAATAAGGTTGTCACTGGATGATATATTTGTATGTCTTCTACCGGACTACGCATGCTCCCTAGCGTGGCTTGGAACAAAATATTCATAAGGATAAGATAAATCAAGAAGATAGAGAATTTTTATTTTTCTTCAAAGATGTTGCAGATTGAGAACGATAAAATGATGGTAATGCTTTGTACTAGACGTAGTCTCCATTAATTGTCATGACAACAACACATTAGTTCCGAACATCAAGCGTATACAATAGACATGTACGTTTTCAAACATGATTTAATGTGTTATTTATATATATTGAGAACTAGGCTAACAATAATTTTAATTCTCGTAAATTTATAGCCATACGTTTGCGTCCAGATTTTATTGGCAATACAATATAATCAAAATATACACACAGGGTGTTTATGCGACCATACAGTTAATGACTGAAGTGTAAAGATGATAAAACAAGAGTGTTATTTTTTCGGCACGAAACGAGGATATTTGATACTTGCAAACTAGACAGACGAAAGCGGCCTTCGCAGTATGCTAACACGTGAGGTGAAAAACTGCCTTGTCGGGACTTGAGCCCGGTCCTCATCCATAACAAGAATTTCACTATCTGAATTTTTTTTCGATACGTCGATATTTTTATACCCAACCTATGTTGTAAATTTAATGCAGAATAGTCTGACAGTTCCAAAGCCCCTGGTTTATTTGGTTGGTCTTGTTTGAACGTAGCCCATGATTTAATTAAGAAATTATATAAAAATAATCTATGTCCTTGACGATACGTCGACATTTTTACCCAACCTATGTTGTAAATTTAATGCAAAATAGTCTGACAGTTCCAAAGCCCCTGGTTTATTCGTTTGGTCTTGTTTGAACGTAGCCCATGATTTAATTAAGAAATTATATAAAAATAATCTATGTCCTTGACGATACGTCGGCATTTTTATACCCAACCTATGTTGTAAATTTAATTCAAAATAGTCTTGAGAGTTCAAAAGCCCCTGGTTTATTTGGTTGGTCTTGCTTGAACGTAGCCCAAGATTTAATCTAAGGACATTATATTTATTCTACAAGCAGAGGTTTGGGTTTGGGGGTATTTTAGCGTGTTTTAGGCTTTTTTATCGGGGTTTCTCTTTTGCACTGAATGTTTTTTCCCGTGGGTTTGGTGGGAAAAAATTCAGTGCAAAAGAGAAACCCCAATAAAAAAGCCTAAAACACGCTAAAAATACCCCCAAACCCAAACCTCTGCTTGGAGAGTACATTATATTGTCCTGATTGATTTAATCAATCGGAGTTTACTGCATGTATGAGTAGGTTTTCCAGGATCAAACGTCACATTTTGGTCAAACCGCAGTATTTCCTGCCATCTGAAATATGTATTGGCCTTTCTGGCGTCTTGCCATTTTCTCTTAGTTAGAAAAGATTATATTTATGATAGCTAGGTACAACCTATTCTGAATGTGGTGCAACATATTCTGTACACGCTTTTCCCTATTTGATTTACGTACCAGGATTGTCATTCATTGACAAACTAGTATTTCCTCCGCCCTTTTTGACAAACAAACAAGTTAGTTTTATAACCTTGAGCAACGCCCAAGGGTTATTCTTGGGTAATACCAGTTGTAGTATTTGACCCCTGCCCGCCAAATATCGTCATGTATGTAAGAAACCGCCATGTTACCGGCGCTAAAGGTCAAATATCAAAAGGTCACAATACTTTACAGAAGATTAATGTCGGAGATGTAAATTTGGAAAGACTAGCCCTTGTCCTGCTGGAATTCCTGGCACAATATTTTTCAATAATTTCATGTCTTAAATAGATCATAGACCCTCAATTTCTTTGCCCTGCAGTGGCATAGTTACTTCTGCATTCGTTGCGTTTCGCTGCGGTGTGATGCGTTGCACGAGAAATACCCCCAAATCGTACCTATACAGGGTGTTATATAGATGGTACTGTATGTGCAGAACAAGAATTGTTGTGCTCCGCAGGACAAGGGCTAGTATGAGAATATTTTCACTCCGGATTCTACGCTTCTGACAGATTAGCAAGTATACCATGTCAAACTCATCAACCCCAGATCGTACATAACAACTATTTCTGTAAATACCAGACAGTTATTGTTGGTAACATGCCAAAGGTTAAGAAATAATAACAAGGCGATATTTTACAAAAGTTGTTATCATGACATGTGTATTGATAAATAATTAAACTGTAAACTATTAAATTCAAAATTCATCATTAAAATTATATAATTTTATAGACTATAGCAACTCTTCTTCGGGTTTGATATGCAGCATATCATCACGTATGTCATGACCTCTGCTCGATATGACATATACAAATATGACGACATGTCCTTACAGGGGTCCTCACTGACGGTAACTGAAAACCTTTCTATATCTGACGACCTTTATTGCACATATTTGCCACACTGGGCTAAGTACATGTCACAACATAACATGCTGAACATATACAGTTAGGCCATGTTGATTTGATTATATGGATGACATCCTCCGGGAGCCCCAAAACTGATGCGCGCGTGCGAATAAAAAAAAGTTTTGCAAAAAAAAAAGTTCTTTTCATTATGAAATCTACGTGGTCATAAGGGTTGAGCAAATGGCACAGAATATGGTTTGGCGAATAATCTAGTCTTCAAGTTCATTTCTTTACAATTTCGTCTTTTTTCGTTTGATTTTGGCATTCTACAACATTGGTATAGTTTTTATTAAGTTTTTTTTTAACTTATGGTATATTTTTGCTCATTTTGCAACTGTTTTGTACGATTTACAGTATGGTTGAAAACTTTTTTTTTTTTGCAAACGGCCGAAACTTCATGCGCGCGCGGATGTCATCCATATAATCAAATCAACATGGCCTTAACAGATAAAAAAAAATAAAACTATTAGTAGACACCTTCAACTTCTCGCTTTTCTGTTATAGTAGAGATGTATGTTTTTCGATGGAAGGTTTGTCTTGTTGTGTTAGAAATATGAACTTTTCTACATTGCTTTGTGTAAGAAGTAGTTAAATAGGCTTTGTACAAATATATATACGCATCCCAATATCGTGAGTAGTCCAGTGGTTAGTGACCCTGCATATGGATCGATCAAGAGGTTGGGAGTTCGAATCCCGGCTGTTGTCACTTACACGACATGCACTCTACCGGAAAGGGTCGAAGTCCTGAGGACGGGACGTTAAGCTGTGGTCCACTGTTCACTGTGCTTGTCGAAAAAGAACTAGGGAAATTTCCCGGTACAATGAACCAGTAAATATTGTACTTTACTGTCTGTCTTCTCGGTCACAACCGGTGGGAGATTAGCTCTTCAGACGCCAGAATTCAGTGAGCTAAAACTGGATTGATATCACTTTCCTTCCCAATAGAGTGCACACTCTAGCAATGGAGCGTTCACACTGACCCTGTCCATGCCATGTGCCATATGATAGGGTTCTAGAGTGTAACAAATAAGTAGTGGTGACTGTGGTATATTGGTAGACACATTCTGAAGCCTCTACGTACTGCCACCGTAAGTACTACTCCCATGTTTGGATACTGACTGCAAAGTGTTTGTTCCAAAAAAGGCCGATATCGACGGTTCGGATCCAGATCTCGCGAGATTTGACGAGAACCCCGCGGAGCAGGAAGGCGGAGAGGAGGAGGATATGGTGACGTCATAACAGTTCAAATTCATGACGTTTAGTAAATTAGTTGCAACCTTTGGTAGTTTTTAGAACAATTAAAAGTAGTTCCATGATTCCAGTAGCTGACATCCTTCTTGCAGCATGCCAATAGATAAGCAAGGCGTCCTTCTTGTATCGCATGGCCTATTTTTGCTATTTATATGATGGAATTTCCAAAGCCATAAAGTTTTATTATACCGCACACTACGAAAAAGGATAACGACGTGACAGATTCTCATGACCTGGCAACTACGCAGGACTTTGACGGGGGACCTTTGGAGATTGAGGTGGAAGACACAGTCACTGATATGAATGGGGTAAACTTACGCGTTTAGCTATTTAGCAGAAAGTACCATACCCTGAGAGCCAGACTAGTATCGGGCCGTTAGCTGGTTTCCTTCGGTAGCCAAGAGGACTACGCCCGCCTATTTAAATTACCGCTACGGGGGAGTTGAGCCCTGTTACCAATTACTATTAGTAATATTCATAGGTCCGGCCAACTTCCCTCGGGCTCAACTCCCCCGTAGCGGTAGTTTAGATAGGCGGGCGTATTCCTCTTGGCTACCGAAGGAAACCGGCTAACGGCCCGATACTAGTGTGGCTCCAAGGGTAAAAGTTCTTGTAGTGCAGTAGATACGAACGACACTTTGAAGTAACGTGACAGACAGGGTCTAAATCCGTTGGCACATTGTTTGCATGCATTCGGATTCCATCCTGACGGTTTAAATTGCGTAGATGACAAAGGTCCGACACTCACCAGTTTCCCATCCCCAGAATGCATTGCGAAAACAGGGGTCTAAACCTCGTTTGCATAGGACAGGAAGGTATCGGAATGATCCTGGTGACGTTAAACAGCTTGCTTTTCACTGTGTTTTGAGGTGTTGGGGCATTTTATGCTCAACATTAATTAAATTACTATGGGTTGAATCTGACAACAAATAGAGAATGAAGTTTTTGGAACATGTGGTTTGTAACGTTATAGTGGTAACGCTATACTGATGCTGTAACGTTACAAACCACATGTTCCATGTTGAAAAGAACACAAAAACTTCATTCTCTATTTGTTGTCAGATTCGACCCATAGTAATTTAAATGTTGAGCATTAAATGCCCCCAACACCTCAAAACACACTGAAAAACAAGCTGTTTAACGTCACCAGGATCATTCCGATGCCTTCCTGTCCTATGCAAATGAGGTTTAGACCCCTGTTTTCGCAATGCATTCTGGGGATGGGAAACTGGTGAATTTCTGGTGTATTTGCACCGTTAATAGTAGACATTTACGTAGATCACAGAAGTTTGCAGTGACTAAATGTTCACAATGGGTGTTTTGACGATCCTACAAAATATGAGATTTACAGTTGTGTAACGCTTGTAGGAAGAAGAAGAAGAAGGGGTTTCTGAAACACCTTATAAAATCCCCGAGGGCCTCCTTGAGATGGTACCGGAGGGAATGCTTCAGTCGGAGACGATGCAGAAGATAGTACAGATGCAACTCGATATCATCCGCGAAGACTACGAGAGAGTTGAGGAGTTCGAGAGCACGTACACGGAACAGGTGGTGGAGACTACCATGGGAACGACGGTTCGGGAATATTTCGGTTCTCCTCGTGTCTCGTTCGGAGTCGTTATTACCCCTCTCGTGCCCAGTGCGTTTCTCGTTGCTTGGAAACCTTGTTTCTGTCTTTCGTACCCGTAGGCTGTCTGTTTCCTCGTATTGTTATTAAAAATTAATAACCGCGTAGCTGTCTTAGTATGTCACAAGATTCTACAGAGGCCGCTTCTTCAAGAGGCCGTTTCTTCAAGAATACAACACAAGAACCCTCAATACAAGAATAATACATAATAAAATCTTAATTTTTTTGTACCTTTTAGTAAATAACAAACCCCTTTCATAGACTCTCAGTATTTAATCAATATTTGAGCACTTTTGATAAATTACATAAAAACAAATACTACTAATTTGGTTTATTTTATATTGAATTGCGATCTCCATACAGAACTTACGACGTGTGTACTGACATTGTGGTATGGTGTAAATGATAAAATTTATTAAGTTATTAGTAATTTAACGTCATGTCTCTCATTTTTGGTGTACAGCCAGTGTCTAAATGTGAAATGAAACAGACACAAGTATTCCGACTGCTAACCTGTCGATAAACTTTGGTATTTTTTTTCACACTTGTAGTTGACGCCATGTATCTCATTTTTTTGTGTGTACAGGCAGTGTTAAAATGTGAAGAATTGTGAAATGAAACTGATGAAGTGGTAACTTAACGATAAAATTAGGTATATGTTTCGAGGTAAAACTTTTGTTCCAACACAAAAGGTACATTCTCTCACCTAGAGCTTTTGACGAGTCACTTTGGTCTTCGTCAGCAGACGGACCCAGTGAAGCTTGTCATGGGGCTTCTCTGTGATATCTGGTAAATGATGTTCCTCACAAGAAGTCTTGTTCAGTGCTCAGTATTCCTACAGTGTCCAGTCAAACAGAATGTCCAGGTGACTCTATGTAGATGTGTCGTGACACTTCTGAACTGGCTGGACTCGGCTGTGGGTGCTCTAGGAACCTTGCCTTCAAAGACCTCTCCGTTTCCCCAATGTAAGATTCCTGGCAGGATCCTTTGTTGTTGTTGTTGACAGGTCTAAAGCTCTAGGCTAGAACATTTACCTTTTGTCGGGACAAAAGCTTTACCTTAAAACATGTAACTACCAACAGATTTGGTACATATTTTTTGTTCAAAACTGCCTGCATATCGTACCAATCAACAGGCAGACAGGTCGACAAAGGGCGGTTCAAAAGACGAACCGACAAAACCGGCCGAGAAATCGGCAGAAGCCGCCAAGAAGGAACCAGAACCGAAGGCGGTGGCAGAACCTCCTAAGAAAGAGCCAGAAAAGAAGGAGACAGAACAATCCAAGAAAGAGCCTTCAAAGGAAAATCCAGAAAAGAAGGTTCCTTCTAAGAAAGAGACAGAAAATAAACCGGTGGAGGTTAAAAAGGAGCAGCCGGGACAGAAGGAGGCAGCACCTAAAGCTAACCCGGCGACGACTCCAGTAAAAAAAGACGCCAAGGAAGAGGAGAAGGTTATAGAAACAGTCCTGAAAATCTGTCTAACATGTTCTTGTTCACTACTGTACTGTAAATCCCACGTTATGCCAATCCTTAGCCTGGTATCCAGTCTATCGTGGTTGGGGCAATTTGTCTTCGGGGCTCTAAAGGACTTCCCCCGTCCAGCTATACAGGTCGTCCGGTGGGAGTGTTACGCCTGTGATAGAGTTATGTACGCCGGGAGTTGATGGTGGTGGGGCTAGTTGAACTCCCGTCGTGTAACGGGGAACCTAGCTGAGTCGGGCGGGGAAGAGCTCCAGGAGCCCCGAAGAGACCCCGCTCCAACCGCGATAGACTGGACACCAGGCTAGCCTATCCTTTGCACAATGTTAACTAACACATGGAGTGTGTTGTTGCTTTGGCTATTGCTTTGAATGGATGTGTGGTTTTAAAGCCAGTTTTGAAGATCTAGCGCTGTGACAAGTTCGTTAATGTGCTTCGTGTTTTAACGCTGTACTAATTTTGCCGTTGCAACTAGTTGCCTTATAAAATAAGCATGGTCTCGTGTTGTACAGACAAATAGCATGGAAACACGCAGCTGCATGGTTTGTTTAAATGGTTGTGGTGAAGTAAAATGAGAGAAAAGCTTTACATCTTTTATGCTATCCTCTTTTACCACATTTCATTGCGGGAAGTTCGAATGTTACCGTTCGTATGATTGGCGCATTTGAAGCACCGCGCAGCAAAAACAGGGCAAGCTATTGGCTGATATTTATGCTTTCGTCACTGCACTGACCCCGCCTTGAAAAATCCGCCAAGTATCTTTCTTTACAACATTTCAGATTGAACCAAATCATCCGAATGTTGCAAAAAAAAGTTACCTGCACAGATTTTTCAAGGAGTATAATAATAACAGATACTGCATCTGCGCAACGCCTATGTGACCGGCTCTGTCAGCAAAGCTCTGCATTTAATACTTTGGCTTTCTTGATGTAAAGTCTGTGTCACACATTCAGAACCTTTCCGCGACTAAGAACCGACCTGGGGGTAGGTTGGGAGCAGTATGACCAAATCTAGGCCTACCTTTGTATACAAAAAGGACCCAATAATGAGTCCCAACCACGCCCGACCACTGCTGACCTACTCAGAACACCAGCCAACCATCGCCGAACCTCCCGTCCACACCCGAATGTTTTGAACATTTTGAAACCTTCGGCTGGTGCAGCCGAACAGTAGCCGACCTCGCCGAACACCAGCCGACCACAGCACGACCTTCCTCTCGACCCCTAACTATGGTTGGCAGGAGTTCGGCAGTGTTCAGAAGGCCATATTTGGCAATGTGTGACAAAGGCTTGACATAAAATCCACCTTTCTTTCCAACCCATGGAAACGCGCTCTTTCTAACTCACGAAACTCTTTACGCATGTGCTCTTTCACAGCTCATTGTGCACTTCTGTTTTATTGCTTTATCCCCAGCGCTGCTCGCACAAGCCTTAATTCACCATTCCGATAGAAAACCAAAGATGTGTTGATCGACGGACAAGAACTATCGACCACGGTATTCATCATAACTGGAGGCACGTCCACATTGCAACAGCTGCCCGTCAAATGTCTGCCCTTGATGACAGACATCTACAGTCACAACATGGAAATTTTGGCGGACTCCGCGATTCTGTACGGTTCTTCAATAGTGGCAGATCTTGGCACATTGGCGACACCAAATCCATCATGATATTCAGTCACTCCACCGTATAGTGAGGAAAGTCGTGCAAAGTGCCTTGTCCAAGGGCACAACATCGGGCGTGTCAGGGGATAGAACCCGGGACCTCTTGGTTCCGAGTCGAACGCTCTGACCATTAGTAATGGTCGCACGCGACGAGCCTACATCAAGCTGGTCCTGGAATGCAAGTCCCCCCCCCAAAAAAACACGAAAATGTGCGTAGCGGCTTGCTGACGGAGGCGCGAGATTCCGTCTTGTAAACGGCCGTTACCATTTGAAACGGGCGACGTCATATTGCTGATCATGACTGGTCGATGCCATATCCGCAAGCGTACCCCAACTGTTTTTAGAAGCAAGTACATTTAAAAACAAGTTAAAGATCCTTGTTAAAACGTATGAAAAAGCATTCAGAAAATAAGAAGTACTAGTAAATATATTAGTGAAAAAATCAAAAGGACAAGCTCGGATTCGAACCGGGGTCGAAAAGACATCCTAAAACCCTAATCGTCTACACCACGAAACATCACGGTGTTGACGAAGCATTCTAATACACTTCTAGTTTCTCATTTTGTGATATGGCATCGGCCGTTTCAAATGGCAACGACCGTTTGCGAGACGGAAAACTAGCGATGGAGTCAGTGAAAATAAGTGAGGCAGAGATAGACCACCCTTGCGTCAACATTCAAGTTTGTGTACACAAACAAAGGCGGACATTCCACGGAGACGTTAAAAGGCATAGCGCATGTGTGCAAGACTAACCGTGTACTTTCTGCCACTGACAGACTGATGCGGGGAGACTGGGTACGGGCACGTCGTCTGAAGAGGTAGGGAACGAGAACACCAACTGACTCGGCGTCTCGTACCCCCGGTATCGTGTTGTCTGACCCACTGTCGTCTGTTTCAGAACCGTGATGTCTCCCGATCCTGACAACGTTTCCCTTTAGGCCATGTTGATTTGATTATATGGATGACATCCACGCGCGCATGAATTTTCAGCCGTTTCCAAAAAAAAAAAGTTTTCAACCATACTGTAAATCGTACAAAACAGTTGCAAGATGAGCAAAAATATACCATAAGTTACAAAAAAATAAGTAAAAACTATACCAATGTCATAGAATGCCAAAATCAAACGACAAAAGACGAAATTGTAAGGAAATGAACTTGAAGATTAGATTATTCGCCAAACCATATTCTGTCCCATTTGTTCAACCCTCATGACCACGTAGATTTCATAATGAAAACGACTTATTATTTTTTTTTTTGCAAAACTT